TTATTCTATCAGGGCTCATTTACGGATTTTCAATTCAAAACAAATGTCAAGGATAACAAACGAGGGAGTTTATCTGTTCCAAACTTGAAGTGAATAAAGTTAATTGAAGTTTTGAAGTTTTGTTCTCAGTGCGCAAAAAATACATTTCATGTATGTTTGTTTTGAATGCAATTTAAGAACCGGCAAAAATTCTCCTTTTCCAAAAAGTGAATTCTTTCAAAAGTCTGTCTTTTTCATAGGTACCTGTTTGAGATGTGTTTATACCTCATAAACCCGTATGATTGCGTAAAATAAAAAAAGAGAATTTAAATCCATGCCTAGTCATGGCTATAAACATTTAAGTCTTATTGAAAGTGAAGAAATGTGGAATTTACATTATATAATAGATAAAAGAATTTGACCAACAGGCTTGGTTATGTTGTTTTGTTGTTATCTGGTGTAAGTATGTAAATTACCTCTTACTTCATTTTATAGCTATACATAAGTGTTTACCAACAGAAAGAATACGTATTGTAGTGTTTTACTTTGTTTTCAATTTAACTTCAAATTCTTAGGAACAAAAATAGTGTGACAGGTTACAATTTCTTACACTTTTAAGTTTAAATTTAGAAATAAGAATACTGAATCCAGGCACGATTTTGGAGAGAAAAACAATGTTTAAGACAGCTTACAAAAATGTACATATTTTGAAAAATGTTGAAGATGGAGGAAGATAAGTTACTTTTAAATCAATGGCATTGAGAATAATTTTAATCTTCGAATTTTCAGTATTTTAGGAGACTTTTTCAAAATACATGTGTTGACTCTTTGAATGATTTGATATCTAATACCAACAATACATTGTATATCAATTTAAAATTCAATTTAATTAAATTTATTTAAGGCTTCTCGACATGTATAAGGAGTAGATTCTTTGTAACATTTTAAAATAATGGTGTCCCTATGTAAGTCTTCAAATCACTTTAATTTACTAGATTTGAGTTTCACTCAGCAAAAAAAAAAAAAAAATCATTTTTAGATGGAATTCAAAAATATAAGAGAATTTGTACAGATACATAGCCGTTTTTGTAACTAAATATTATACAATTATGGACTCTTTCGATGGTGAATATGGTTTGTTATTCACCAGAAAAATATTTATATTGACCGAGGCGAAAGAGTCCATAATTGTTTTATTATATAGTCCGGATTTGAATAAATAAGACTGTATGACGACATCATTTTCATTTATTACGAACTTCTGTCGTAGAAAAATAAAAAAAAAAAAATCCAGATTGCAAATTGTAACTTCTGTGTTTTCCTTTCGCTGTGTGTAAGACATTAAAATGTTTAGAAAATAATCCTGCGATAAGTTGTCGAACATTTTTCCTGCTCAGATACACAGCTGCATGGCTTCGGCCGTTGCAACCGTTGTTTACAACGTTGTTTGAGGTGTTGATTGTGACCCCACAATGCCGCTGCACGCGCACTGACCCTCCGGTGAATACGGCATTAAATCCAGTGAATATGTAGTGTTATGAACAGTTTGCGTTTGTATATATTATATAGGGACTATAAATAGGCTATATAATAATGTGAATTGTTTTATAAAAATAACTTTATTTGATGCCTTTCATCCCTTTTTTTGTCAACCAAATCACTGCTTGATTGTCTCTATATTTTTAGTTGTTATTCTGTAGCATTTGATAGTATTGTTTTCAACACAGGTGAATTATTCCCTCCACAGTAAATTTAAAACTTGTAGTTAACCTCTTATTAGCCTTTAAATACTTAATAGTTAAAACATGTAATTCTTCTCATGCTGACGCGTTTGGTAGGTATCGAATGTTGAAGAGATTTTGCAAAACACTTTGATCCCTCGCTTCAATGACCCACCGGAATAGAAACAATTTTCATCCATATGAAGTAATGTAAAGCTTGACGTTAGGAATAGAAGCGCAAAAAAAGTTTGATGATATCATATAATCAATGCAGATTCTTTATTATTTTAGGTCAAATAACTTTTTGGTTCCATTGGGCTGCCCTGCAATTTGTAATAAAAGAAAGGACAAGAATGCTCTAACGCTAACAATTTGTCATAATATAAAAAAAAAAAAACTTGTAATTTATATCTTTCATTTCAAAAATGAACGATAAATTGAGACTTATGGATTGAAAAAAAAAAAGATTTTTAGAATTTCATTGAACATGAATAAAAATGACAAGAACGGTCTCCACAGATAATATGTGACACACCAGTATTTGCCTGGTGGCCAAAAATTTAAAGTCATTTATTACTGCTTACAATCATTTCGCCTGACATAACGCTGTTTAAAAGTCAATTTTTGTGAATGAGTGAGAATTTATTTAGCTTTTACATCACCCGACGATGCTTTAAAGATGTAACAGTTACTGTAAATTATATCTATTAAGAAAAGACAGATCTTAGTTAAATTCCCTATTACATAGAATTCGAAAAGATTTTATTTTATTTTTTTAATTTTGTTTTACAAACTACTTTAAATTTGTTATCTGCTATTTGTATGACTAGCTTATTAACTAGAATAACGCAACTTGTTCTCCAAATTTGCACTTCAAAAAAAAAAAAAAAAAAAAAAAAAAAAAAAAAAGGAGAATATACCAAATTTGATCATCAACAATTTTTATTGTAACAGTTTGATAATATATTATAATAGTTTTATGGGATTATACCATACCATAATAAATGGTTAAGAATTGCACATAAATTATTAATTTACATGATAACAACAACATCATTTATAAGGATAAAAGAGAGTTAGAACCATGGAAGAAATTTGACAATTTTTCAATGTCCGCTGCATTAAAAATAATGAGAATGAAATTAAATATACACACAAGCAATGACATCAAGCAAATCTGTATTTGTTTAGAAATGCAAGGTATGTAAAATGATTTTGTCTTATTTGTTTTTAAATTTAAGAAATTTCATGAGGAAAAGTAAGTAATAATTGACTTTGTAATAATTTTTCTATTGAATTGTATTTTCTTCATTTCATACTTTGATCATAAATAGGAGATATTGTAGCAAACGGAGAAAACTTAAATTCAATCCTAAGTGTGTACGTGAGGAGGGCTAATTTGTATCGTTAAGGTCAATGATTCATCCCCCAAAATGCTAAATTGGACGAAAATGTTCTTAATTCTACAAGAAGATTTGTTTTCGGAAGTTTACAAAATGTCTGTATCTTACATTTTTGGAAATAAACAGATATATAAGGATACAATAGTTCAATTAAGACAATAACTTTGGGTGACAAATAGTAAGACGTATAAATGGCGACCTATTTGTAGAAATAAGATTATGTAACTACAGACATTAACAGCTCAGATGTCATAACACACACGGGAAGTGAAGGCAATTCAATCTAGATATTGAATGAGTCAGAGTATAATACGTTGTAGTATATTGAAGAAACTTTTTTTTCGCATAATTAAGTGTTTTGCAAAGAATTCAAAATTTAGTTTACAACATAAGTAAAGAAAGAAATATTACTCTAAGATTTCCAGCTTCATTTGATTTCAAGAGTACATGAGAACCATGACATAAGACGTGCACAGGATGAAACTCCACCTTTCAGTCAACTAATTGGTCTGGAAAGGGACTGAATGGCAGAGCTCTACCATTCAGTCACATTTCAGCAATCTTTCAGTCACCTTTCAGCTAACTGAATTGCAGAGTTTCAACCAGTGACAGGAACTAAAGAGGGCCTTTTGTAGGGTAATAATCAGGAATCGTGTCCGAATTATTCATGCTTTAAATGTCCAAATCAAACAGACGATTTGGTCGGCTGCCCACAGCTAGCTACGCAGATATAGGGAAATGTTACACTGTACATTAAAAAATCATGTAAAAATGTAATATTAAAATCTGCTTCACATATACGTCCTATGTTAATCCACATATTGTAACTAACAAGAACTTATCAGATAATAGGGTAAAGTTAAATGCAAATCATATTAGAATTTCAGTGGGTCAGAAAAATTTAAATTTTCAAGTGAGCCCAGATTTCTGCCTATAATCTAAGTCTAAAGATTAAGCGTCTTTTTTGGATCAAGGTCAAGTCGAGGATGTTTTAAGGTCACATACATTATGACTCTAAGAATATTTTTGATAAATAATCTCTTCTGTTTAGGTATGATTTAGAGTATACAGTCATCTTTTCGGACAAACGATTGCATAAAAAAATGTTGGAATTTTAATTTTGTTTTGACATAAATCTGACCCATTTTCTACAAAATGCAAAAGGCAAATACCCCCCCCCGCCCCCCCCCCCCCCCAAAAAAAAAAAAACAATTCTACACAGGATATAATACCATGCAACTATATTAAAAAAATCACTTAATCATATTCAGTGAAAGAAATCAAGTATGGATACTTAGAATAGTACATATATTATTTACATGAATGAAAAGATGCCATCTTGATGTCATCTTACTTTTGAATGACCCAAAGAAGCAAAAAAGAAAATAAATAAATACAAAAACAACAAACACAAACAAATATGTATAAGTGATTTTCTGCAGTATTAGAAATACTTTTGGTTTTGAAGTTCAATGCATTTAAGTTGTACAGAAGGATAACCAGTGAACATTGTTCGTGGTCTAATAAATTCTCACGCTTTTTGAAAACATTACAACAGTAAAACAAGATTACATCGAAAAATAAACATCAAATAAACAAGACTCGTAAAGGCAATGAGCTTATAAAACTAAACCAGTGCAGTTTTCGACGTGAGATGAGTGCTGTTAGCACAACAAGGTGTTAAAAGTTAAGGACTATAACACGCGGTTACAACTTAAACATCGCCACATTGACAAGAACACGTGATTGTACCGGAAGTAGAATGTAAAGTCTATATATCTGACAGAAAACTACGGAAAGGTGTCCACTCAGTCAGATCCGAACGCTTGAACGTTATCAACTGGACCACACGGTGACAGAAGCATATTTACAAATAACTGTCCCGCACAAAATAATGATGATTATATCATTGGTCAGTATTCAGCACAGCAGAATGCTTCTGATTATAGGAATACATTGGCTGTTGATTTTGTTACAGTTAGTTCCTGTCAAAGGAAGTACCCTGATTCGTGAGGAAGAGCCGGGGAAAGCTGACATTGAGTCTAACACACAGTTTAATTATAGCCCATACTCCATGAGGGGTGAGTGTTCTTGCATGCATATATTTCTTTTATTATCACTTGTACACGTATATCTTGTACGAGATGGCTTTATTGCAAATAAGGTCCATTCTAGCAATGCACACAACAGAAGATCCTTATGGAAAAGTCAAAAAAGTTTTTAAAAAAAAAAGAAAAAAAAAAAAAAAGAATCAGTATCTATTAAGATATTTCCTGTGGATGATTGTAAGAAGTATTTTTATAAATTTCACTTAAGCAGATAAATGTTTTATAATTAAGTTATTTTTCATCTCACTTTTGTTTATTTTCCCAGTTTCTCTCCTTTTTTATCTTTTCTTTTGTCTTTTTACTTTTAGCATATTTTTATATTATAACATTTCATTTCTGAAATGCACAAATACCTGAAATTTCAAAATTCTTCAAATTGAATGAAGAACATTTCAAACGAAATGTCATAAAAAATTTGAAGGCCGAGGAGGATTATTTTTCATGTTCTAATATTAAATTAAATAAAATTTGTATATTGCTCAAATTATCCAAAATTTTTATGGTATATATTCAATACATGTAATTGGATTTGCGATCTGAAATATATAGTTTTGCAAATTCTTAAATTTTGAGCCACCTATTTATTAGGAAGTTGCGTTGGAAATAGTTTATTAAAAAAAAAAAAAAAAAGAACGACTCTATTGTTTAAAGAGCAAGATTATTCATAGAGAAAAATAGATATATAACTAATCTAACCTTGTTATATATTTAATTTATTGTTGTCAATGTTTTCACAAGCCAAACATCACTATGGCATTTTCAATTGTCTTCCATTATGGGAACGTTTGAATCACCCACTTCATTTTGATTTCTTCAACAAAGCTTAATTACAAAATATTCTTTGAACTTTCTCTTAAGGAGTTAATCATGACATGTCCTTAGCTTGTAAAGACAAATATTGAATGTTAAATCCTCAATAAAACACCAATCATTGTCAATTACCACACGACAAGGCGTCTTTTAAATCAAATTTGCTCCAAATCATCATTTTATTTCAAGGAAGACGACAGTCGTAGGTTTGTATAAAAGTTCTCATTCGTTGGTATATCAATTTATATACCAACCCTTCCAAAGCAAATATCCATATGAACATTCTCAACAAATATTCATATCAGGTTTTAGTTTTTGATTGAATTGCTTACTTTTATATGAACATACTTGATAAAGTAAACTGACTGTATGTGGATCTTGGTCTGTATAATTTAACTTCTACAGTGCAGAGAAGTAATTTGGATACTTAAAAAAAATAACCATCATCACCCAGCTAGCATAAGCATTTAAAAAACAAAAACTGACTGTGGTCGGTAACACCATCAGCAGAACTAGCAAGAAAAAAAAAGCAGATAACCAAAAAAAATTAAAAAAAAAAAAAAAAAAAAAAAGCCAGAACACCATGGCAAGCAAAGCTAGAATGACCAAAATGAAAGTAAGTATTTTTAAAAAGTAAAACATAGAAACAAAGAAAACTAATTTAATAATTCAAACTGAAAATGTAACAAAAATATAATTTAAAAATAGAAATAGAATATGAAGCAGTTTGAAAGATTTAAATTATAATGCTGAAAGTTAAAATTATTTACTTCCGCGTGATGCTACTTCTCGCAATATTGACCTAGTTTTGAAGCAGTACAGGTAGCACTGGAATAAGGATAACTAGCACTACAAGCATTGTATCAGCAAGCAAAGGAATTTTAAAAGCAAAACCATTGTTCTTACAAAATTAGGTTCCTGCACTATGTAGTTCAACGAATTCAACAAGAAGCGAAAGCACAATGGTAACATGAACTTTACTCAATAAATGGAAAAAAAATTAGGTGAAATAGAATACTTGTTCTTTTGAAAGATATACATGAACTTCAACTTTGATCCATGCTTTGAATTCGAAGTATTTTCTATGAGACATAAACAAACTAATGTCACCATTTGCTTGGAAGCAAGACAATTATCTAATAAAATGGATAATAGATGAAACTCAATTTTGAAATAAAAGATAAAACAGAACTTAATCTATATATAGGATGTGAGTTAGTTGTCAAATTATGAAATCTTAGTGTACAAAAATACATTTTTCCTCTATTCATCTCTATAATTATCATAATGCAAAAGTCATACCAGAAAATGCTTCTGCAAGAAAAATAACTCTTCTTTGCTCCAGAACAATTTTAATGGATTTTTATTTGAAACGGTTTAGATTTTTAAAAATATATTGCGAAAGGAAGACCGGCCAAAGAGGCAGACAGACAGACAGATGGACAGCTATACAGCAGATAAGCGGAGATGAAAACATAACTTTCTTTTAAATTTATTGATGGGGGCTACCTGGGTTTACTCAAAGATCGCCCACATCCCCTTATGACAAAGTACAAACTCGTGTGTATCAAAACATCACAACAAAAATTTAATACACCTATATGCTAACCAAGATCAGATTAAGATTAAGATTGCTTATAAGTATTGGCATCATGTGCTTAGCGCTAGACTTCTGAAAGCTATGAAATAATGTTTCTCTAAACAATTCTGTATAGAACCGAGTCTTCAAAAACATTTCTCTATTTGTGTATGTTTTAGCTTTCAATATCAATACCTTTTTTTTTTTGCAAAACATACAAGATATTTCATTGACAGACATATGACTAGCAAACACAGACAAGTTGGCAAAATCATTTTCTATCTTCTAAGGCAAAGTAATCAGTATAATTTCATCTTCTTTAAAGGAAATTTAGAATATTTAGTCCGCAGAGCCTTTGATTTCACACATCTTATTTTCTAAAAATACTTTCTTTTACTTCTGTTTAAGGTCCAGCTATGTGGAAGTATCAATGGGAAGAGTGTAGGTCTAATAGACAGTCGCCAATAGACATCGATACACAAAAAGTGTTGTATAAGATGGGCTACAAAATTCACTACAATCTAGAAAACTTAAGAACGAGTGGACAATTTGTAAATAATGGTATGTATTTATTCAAACTCGTGCGTGGCGTAATGGTTACAGCGTTTTGATATAAAGTCACAATTTAAAGAGATGATACTTATGTTCCGGCTTTGAATCCCACTGAGACTGGTGCTGCAGATGAGACCTTATAAATGGTGAACACGTGTAGATGCTGGTCGGGGAAAAATTCTCAATGCCCATAAATGCCTATAAATACAGATCTAAATTTGCAGCCTTCCACCGCCAATTGGTGATGCCCCAATATGAGTGAAAAATACTCTTAAGGACGTGAAGGACGTGAAGCAAACAAACAACCAACCATCCAATAGACTTGAAAATGATGTACATGTAGTTTATCGATGGTCCTGCACAAGCATACAACAACCTGACATGTATATCATGTATATATTAAAAATTTGTATCAGCATTAAATTTTGTAGGCTTATGCTTTTAGATAAAGTTATGCAAGAAATTATTAAATATTTCTATGCATCTTCGTTGTAATTGAAATGATATTAGCTCGGCATTAAGAGAACCAAAACTCTTCGCCAACTTCGGAAATCTAATCTAGAATCTCGAATCTAGAGTTCCCTCTCTTTTCCTATTAAGGTAATGCTAGTCATATAGTTGATATCAATTCATACCGACATTTTTTGAAGTTCTGCATAAATGTAACATTATTTTGTGGTTTATCTGTCCAGTTTGAGGTAAAAACCTAGGGTGGATCGAACCTCAGAAATATTTTCTTTACTGACAGTTAAGCAACAATAATGGTGTAGGTTTCTGTCAATAATTAATGCTGCAAGAATTATGAAATTCATACTTCTCTTAAGTTTATTAAAAGATGAATACATATATTTGTCTTTGATAGGACATACCTGTGCGTTTTACCCTGACAAGAAGTTACGAGTGTTATATGGAGTCCCCCACTCGGAGAAGGATATGTATGTCTTCGATCAGATCCATTTTCATTTTGGAAATGACATTGAACATGGATCTGAACATTCTATGAACGGGCGTTACTTTCCTATAGAAGTGAGTTGATTGTTTACAATGCATATATTTTTTTAACATTTATTTCTCCGAGTATTGAAGATTGTGCTTAATTATAATAATATAGTCCTTTCAGACTATAATAAAAGACATTATTTAAACAAAACTACATTTATTTACGGGAACCACTCAAAAAAAAATACGTCAATGTTTCTCATCTTCATATTATTTTTATTAGATTTAAGATCAACGCATTTTCAAATGCTAGCTATCTATGTTATTGATGTGTGAGTTTTCATTCCATTTTTTCTCAATTTTAAAATTAACAAGGTCTACGGAGCAGGTTTAACAACACTTTAAAACAAGGCTTGAAAGTTTTTCAAAATTACTCCTTTTAGCCCATCTGAACTGAATATTTGGGGATTCCCAAACTTCAAAAAAAGTACACTTAATTAAAACAATCATGTTTTCAGGATTTCTTAGTAAGCAAGTTTTATTAAAATGCTTAAAAAAATACAAATAAAAAGCATTTTAAAAATTTCCTTACCACATTTTCCTTACAGCTACACATGGTTCATTACAATTCTAAATACGGAGATGCGAAGAATGCTTCTAAATACATGGACGGAACTGTAGCCCTATCTGTTTTATTCGAGGTAACACACGAACAAATATTTCAGCTAAATTATGTTAAATTTTCATGCAAATATTAATTAATGTTCAATGGAAAAGGAAATGAAAATCAAAAAAAGTTCCATTTCTACAATTAGGTTGGGCACAATGGTCCAGGAGAAGTAGATAAATTCATTCAAAATTACGTCCCACGAGTAAAGACACCAAAATGTAAGTATTTTGGACTATCGTAGCTGGAATGAAATAGTCAGAATTTTATAAAGTTGAACATGTACATTACATTAGACATTAGGAAAACAGACTTTTCTTGCAAATCATTGAATATTGATGTGTTTTATTTCTTTTGAATATTTCTTTTACATTGAAAACAATTGTTAAAGTCAATTTTTTAATGATTTTGATTGAAGTATTTTTCCAAAGTTTAATACACCTAAACTCTAGAAAACGACTTTTCCCATATCCTCTCCTCACATAATTATTCTCTTCCTGAAAAAAAATGATAAAAAAGTAATATTTAGTGACATCTGATAATATTGTTCATGATTTGAGCAATTCCCTTATAAAGGGATTCTTGATAAAAAGTGTTGTCTGTGGATATGCACATTGCACTGTACGACTGAAGGAAAATGATTCAATTTTTATGTTAAAGATGAAGGAGTTCAATCAGTTATAGATTTATCGGGAGTACTACCTTACAATCGGGACTTCTATACGTACTACGGCTCGAAGACAACTCCGCCATGTGAATACAACACTCGGTGGATTATCTTCAAACAGCATAGAACTATCACTAGAAAGGTAAAATTTAGTGAAATTGAAAGTCCGTACACTAGGAAAGTGAAAATAGTGCCTAATTAAGAACAGGATAAAATTTTAAAACAAGATAAAATTTATTAATATGAAAGTAACAGAAAATGAATTACCAAATCTTATGTTTAATTTTACATGTACAAATCTATACCTAGAAAATTAGTAGAAAAAAGGGAAAGACTAAAATATCTGGTGTAATTTTTCAAGAGGGTCCTTATTTGGAGTGATCACAAAGAATTATCCTGGAAATTATTTGTGAATGTAAGATTTTAATGGGCATATTTTTTTTTTCAGTCTCACAAACTCTTGTTTCTCCTACGTAATAAGAAAGGGGAGCGGATCTCACGATTTGGAAATTTTAGACCTGTTCAGGACAACTCGTGTCGACTAATTGAGGCTAACTTCTGATTCAGCGATAATGTTTTGTAAAATCTTATTCGGGATTACTGCAAGAACATGAGAAGTATGGAAAGACCACTGATGGGATTCGTGTCAATAAAATGAGACGATTAGAGAGTTTATATGTATGTGTTTAACTGCAAAAGAAGAATGATATTTAAGAATAATTCTCAAAATGTGCCAAATGTACATAGTCAATATAAATTATCACAATAATTTTGTAAACATAATGTTTTGTTTTAAAGTCATTTTGGCATTTTCCTAAATGATAGCGGGAAAAGATGACTGCAATTCAAGTTGTTTTGAATAATGCTCTGATATAAGTGATTACATTTTTGAAATATGTTTTTACAAAGTATGTAAACGAGAAAATCTAGAAAAAATGACAGTTTACATTCCATCTAATTCGGAATTTATTTTTCTTCATTGAATATCAAGGAAGCATTTCCAAATTTTCAAAGAATTTACATTAATTATAGTAAATGTATTTCATTGTTTAAGATTATTTTCTTCTTTGATGTATATTTATTAACAGTCAAAGTATTGTGAGATGTTTCTCTCTTTGGTACAGCTGATTTGGGAATAAGACAGGCGACTAAATAATTAAAATTGGATGAAAAAAAGACGTTAAAATGAATTTCTTAGCTGTACATGTATAAGGGGTATTTACAATGTTTTAAGGAGGCTGTAAGGTCAACCAATAAGCCAACAGATCCAATAACAACTATGAAATGCAACTTTTGCTAATTTAGCTAAAACAAACACAAGCTACAATACAATAGTATTTAAATCAATTCCCTAAATTCCAATACATAGCTCTTTTTCCAAGAGGTTTAAATAGTTTAAAAATGGCAATGACTCTTCAACCTCTTTATTTATGATCCTTCTCCAGATTTAAAATTTCCTATCTGCTTTAATTAGATGATATAAATTGGAATTGTTAGACATTTTTTTTTTAGCTCCTCGTGTATTTTTACACAAAGATACGATAAAATACCTCGTATATACATGAGAACCCGAGGAAATTATCAAGTTATATATGTTCAGAATTGCTTCAGACTGTGGATTTCTTCTTATATCTTGTGTTCGCGAGTCACCTAAAAGGATTGTATCTTACACTGCATTGCACATGTTACAGTGTAAACAATTACATGAAATGTTGGTTTTAAAAGTCAAGTAAATGGATGATATATCATATTAACCTGCAATCGACACAAGTATTGCATTGAAGGTTCCTGTTAATTCATAACAACTTGATTCGAATCCAACTGTGGGACGTGGAGACCGGTCCTTCGGATGAGACCGTATAAACCGAGGTTCCGTGTCACAGTAGGTGTTGGCACGAAAAAGATCCCTCACTGCTCAAAGGCCGTAAGTGCCGAGTATAGGACAAAATTTGCAGCTCTCCACCGGCAAGTGGTGGCGTCTCCATATGAGTGAAAAATTCTCGAGAGGGACGTTAAACAACATACAAACAAACAAAACATAACAACTTGATGAAAACATAAGAATCAAAATAACTTTTAATTCATGAATTTGATTCTACCCCAAAAATTATTACGTTTCATAGAAAATTGTATAAATGCATAAAGAAGGTAAGTAAGAAATGACGTTAGTGTAAGTATACCTTACATGTACCTTTGGCAATTGTTGACATTTTTTGTCTGCAATCAAGACAAATTTATCCGAAATACCTCAGATGGTAACAGGCTGTGATAAAAACCTGAAAGGTTGGATGGTTATGCAGATATAAACATGCTTTATAAAACACGTACTTTTTTTTCTTAATATGGGTAAAAACAATAGAAATACTCAATAAATCATGGAAATAAAGAAATTTCTTAGAAATGTTTAACTCACTCTAATTGTTTCCTAATGTCTCTATAAAAAAAATTAAGTTTGATGTCTAATTCTTCAAAATGTTGTCATTCATCACATACCATTGTAAAATGTGTTCATCTAATTATTTTTAAGAAATAACTGAAAAGTTATTTATGTTCAGCTATATTCATTTTCAATTAAGATATTTTCAAGTTCGTTCAATTTATTGCAAACCAAAATATTGGTTATATGAAGTACAATATTAATAACATACATGTATATACGAAGGTTGATCAAGTATTAATAACATACATGTATATAATATAATATATATATTGATGAAGTTGGTACTTGACTTTTGGATCAACTTTCGTACATTATAATAGCAATAGCCAGAGATACATAAATATGAAATACAGTAATATGTCAGGTGATAAAAAAAAGATTTTAAAAAGTCAAGGAGGACAGGCGGAATCATAAATTTTCATTAAGAAAATTCATACACGTAGCTTTTTTATTTTTAGCATCATTCCGTTTTGGGCTTGACATAAGCTCCATAAGGATATGTATTTGGAATTTCAAAAGGATGAAATGGGAAAGAAAAAAAAATCCCTGAAAAAGTCACATTTCAAAATCAACGGTATGTGTATTATATATATATATATATATATATATATATATATATATATATATATATATATATATATATATTACAATTTTTCATTTTGACCTGAAATCTTTACAATTTAGCATCAAATTTGGCTAAAACCCATTTTCCAGTTCAAACTCCAATTTTTGCATGAATTTTGGCCTAGAAGACAAGCGAAACTATGCCTCAGTGTAGCAAGCTTTCTTCGAGGACAAGAATTATTCACTCTGTGTTACTAGAAACCGATATTTGCAATACACTGAGGTAGATTTCTGTTGTATATACATCTGATTTATTATATAGTACCTTAGAATTTTATCAAAGAATCTTTAATACTTATAACATTCTAGTCATCGAAGGCGAGTTCGATCTACGTTATCTATAGAGGATTCCTAAACTTCATAAAAAAGGTTACATAGTAAGATACATTGTTGGGTCCAGCAAGTGTTCTATCAATTCTCTATCTATACTCCTTACAAAAATATTCACCACTGTAAAGGACACAAGTCAGACGTACTGTTCTACAGCATATTCTAGAAGTTGTATCAATCAAATGTTGATTCTCCATTTGTACTCAGTGTATTTGGTGTCATTCCGTCTGTGCTACTAGTGCATGTCTATTGAACTTGTACGTATGCGTAGTGCTTGTGTTACAAATTGAGTTTTATACAGTATTTACAACTTTTTATTGATTGATTATTGTTGTTTTACGCCGAGTCGGCAATATTTCAGCCATATTTCGGCGGTTACAACTTTTGAAGTCAATGGTTTAAGTTTTTATCAGTACGGTTACATGTCATTAAGTACACTGCTTGGAATTTTTTTGTATGTTATACTTATACATCAATAGTGTGTTTTTATTATTTATAATGGCCTTAGCTCCGGATATAAGTAGTATGTCCAACATTTATTGTTCACAACTCTTCTAAGCCTCCTTTTAGACATTTGTGTTTAGCAAACACATCTTGTTTATATTAGACATTGAAAAAAAAAATGGTACGAATTCTTCGAATATATATTTCAAATTTGGAAACAGTATTTACAGTACACGGTAGCATATAATGATAACTACTTTATAACATTTGAAATAAAATAATCACTAGCAAACTAACCACTACTGTTCAATGCTAACGACCAATTACTATATGCATACATTCAAACTGAGTTAATCTCACTATAATTTTTCAGTACATGTTCTTTTTGATACAACAAAGATGGCAGGATTACCAAACCCATCAAACAAGTATATTAAAGAGAATAGAATGTATCTAAGGTCTGAAAAAAAGTTTTCCTGTTTAATTTTTTAATTTGACGACTATGTATTCACATATTGATTGTACATGTAGGCAATGAAACATGAGAGTTATATTCTGCCTGGGCATTTTGATCTTCACATCGATCGCAAGCAAAATTCAATTAACGTTGATTAACGATTTAATAGTCTGCAAAATTTCTATTTTTTTTAATTTGAAAAATACCTGACCAAATATTGTGAAAACCTAAGGTTTTTGGTACCAATAGATACATGTACGTCCATTTGCCAGTAAACGTATCAATTACTTACATTCATATTTGAGACGAACACTAAAAATAAATAAATAAATAAATAAATAAAAAATAAGCATAGCGATCAGTCGTATTGTCTTCTGAACATTGCATCAAACTGTGAAACACTTCACATCCTGACTTCTTAACTCTTGATCCTTGAGAGATTTCTCAGAGAAATGAGCAATTTTGATTTCTGGTAGGTTCCTTTATATAAGGTATTTGGAAATAGAAATGTTGTCAATTAAATATTTTATAAGCATTATATTTTTTTTTCTTCAAAATGTCTGTTTAGAATATCTTTCTATCATATAAGATTTTTTTTTTCAAGTTTAAGCGTTAATACCCATGCGTAACTATACATGTAAGCATACAAATCCATGCACATGTGTGACATAGATTTTAAATTATATTTTAGATCAAGCAAATTATTATTTTCCTCAAAGAAAGAGGCGTATCATTCCTTTCCTACAAATTCATTTTCAGACTTATATGTAACCTTTACGAAAAAGAACCAATTTCGAGAAAGAAAAAAATAACGAGTTCTCAATTTTTTTCCCCACTTCTAGGTTACATTCGTTTAAGTTTGTTCTACATATATAGAGTACTAAGTGTATCATTGATGTATGGAAATATCCCTTTGGGTGTCTCATTATCTAAGGGTAATTGGATGAAAGGTCATTTAGGATTAAATGTGTCGGGTTTCAGGGAAACATCACAAACTAAGGAGTGTATATTGTAAGGTAAGTTTGATTCTGTATGGACATTATAATGAGGTCAATACGTCAATATGACCCTGGTTAACAATCCAAGGCTTTTTAGACAAATTTATACAATAAGTCAAGCACCTTTTAGTTCAACGGATCTCTTGCTAGTTTATGAATGATATTGAAGATCATAAACATGATTCAAAATTTGAAAGATTGCACAAATATTCACTTTAATTTTATGTTTTGTTTCGTTTTATTGTCGTTTATTTGTTCTTCTTTGTATTTAGTTCGTATTCTTTGAAATGTTTTTCTCTGCTTACTTTTTAGGTTTGTGTGAGTGTTTTTATTTCGTTTGTTACATTTGTTTATTTCAGTGCTTTGCCATAATTTCTATTCTCT